ATGAAATTCGCTCTAACTGTATTAATTTTTGACACTCTTTTTATGATTCTTTTTAAAAAGGACATAGAAATGGATTGTAGCTCTGGCCTCCATGCAGTCATGATGAATAGCAGGCTACAAATAATGCTTCCTTCAAACTTTTGAAAGAGTAATTTAGATTTTTAATCTCTTCAGTGGGTTTACAAATACCCTACACTGATAACTGACCAAGGAGCTGGAAGTGAGAGATTTTTTTAAACAAAGAAAATGAGTCTTATATTGAAGGAAGCATTTTCACATATTTTCCTCCTTACTGTGTAACCTTTTGTTCCCATCACAAATATCTACGCATAGTCTTATCTCTGACCTTGAAGGATGGGATGGCTTTATCGAGGTGTCTTTTAAGATCACAGACGACCTTCAGCTGATATCACTGAGCTCTGACCTGCCTCAGTGATCTGCTCCCACAAAATACATATGCTGAACAGTGCTGGTGTGTGCAGTAGGGGTAAGTGAATTATTTACAAAAATTTGAGTTGACACCTTTTATCAAATGTGGAAAGATGAAGACAAAACAGCTGCTATTGCTGTCGTAAGCAATCTGCTGGTGATTGAATAAAAGTGTCAAGAAAATGGCTGCTTGATGGCCTTTTGTTCTCCCTCATCCAGCTTGATGTTAGTTTGAGCTGTCAGTTAGGAATCACGGCGGTGTGATTTATCAATAGACTGAGTGACCTTCTCTTTTCGCTAGCGCTAGAAGACAGCTCCCTCTACTGCGAAAACACAACACTTCTCACCTTGCCTTTTAAGGCATGGGATTGGCTTGGGTTTGCCAAAAGCAACTCACTCAGAGGATAATTATGGCTTTTTTCCATTTTGTCTTGTTTTGACGACCTCCACTCACTTGCTAAGAATGAGCACATATCCAAAACGGAAATTTTAAGCATATTTCTATACCTTCCAGCAAAGTAATTTAGAAAATTCAGCATTTGAGATGAAATGCTTCCTCCTCGATAATTAAACTGCAGAATACGGAAACATTATCTGTGATAGCAAACTGAATCTTTAAACAGTGTTTGACTTGTATTGACATGAATAGTCCATTTGCATTAACTCAAATTATTTTATAATCTCTGTAGAAAGAAAGATTTGAAGTTATTTTTCTGTCATAATATTGGACCCTCCTCAGGGAAAGATAGTATTATCAATCAAGGTTTGGGAGTCTTGAGAGATAGGAAGCCATAGGGACCATGATTTTACAAACGAACATTTAGTGTTATCCTATAGAATATTCTACATGCACTTATTAAAATTTGGACTTTCAATTTCATAGATATTTGTTCAATTGGAAACACAAATAATGTTAAGTATGTATTATGATAAAGTAATATTCTAGTTTTCATTGAAGGAAACATTAAAAATGATTAAGAGAATTCAAGTAACATAATCTGATTTCCAGGGGTGCCTAATCTGAGTGTTCAGATCTAACTTGCTGTAATATGATTCACATTCTCATTCTTTTGAAAAACTGCTACATGTGGACGATTTCAAATACGAGCATTCTTTTTTAACCTGGAATTTTTGTTTTATTACAAGTTTTCACTTTTGACTTCTTATCATAAATGCTTAAATCAGGTATAAAAATCATCATATGCTGTTTTGCTGCTTGTATCAGGTTCAGTCCCTTAAAGCTACTCTGCGGGACCACATGGTTACTCATTTTCTCTTAGTGTACTTTTCATCGCCCTGTCCTGAAGGCAGACTCGATGGGAATCGCTGAAAAGGTGTACCTCGTGAATCCACAACATTTTCTCTGTACCAAGTTTCCCCTACATCTTTCTTTACTTAAACAAGCACACAGCTTCTCTGCTCTAACACAGAAGCCCCACACACATGCAAACTCCGGGTCTACTCCTCAGCTCTTGTACCAAGTTTCCCCTACATCTTTCTTTACTTAAACAAGCACACAGCTTCTCTGCTCTAACACAGAAGCCCCACACACATGCAAACTCCGGGTCTACTCCTCAGCTCTTGCCTGAGCTTAGCTTTTTTTCCCCTCTGTCCTGACACACACACACACCATGACTTGTTCCTAAGAGCTCTGCAGCAAACTTGAATAATATGTAAATTTTATGTTGTAATGAATTAGGTCCTAAGATCTTTAAAGGTCAGACACCTGGTATAATACATCACATTTTTTAATATCAACTACAAAATAACTGTAATAAATTTTTCCAACACCACATCCTCACACGCTGTTACCCACAAGGAAGCACCAAAGGAAATGTGTCATTTGTCAAAACATGCAGGAAAACTGGCATATGTACAGGGCACTTTAAAAGTAAGTCAGATTAGAAATAGCTTTCCAGGCAGAACTTTTGTGTTTAAACAAAGAAAGACGGGCAGGTGCTTACTAGAATCTTCCCTCGGCACATTTTTGTAAACAAGATGAAAAGAATTAGTATTCTATGATAAGTGATAAAATGACTTTAGTCAAAGGATATTGTGGAATTCATAGGCAAAGAGCTTTGATTCTCTTTAGGGGAAACTTCAAGATGAATGATAATTCATCTCTGCTTGGGTGAGCAAGTGGGATACTAAAAAAAAAATACAATTATTTGAGTTGTAGAAATTTGATAGCTGCTATTTTAAAAGGATATTTATTTCTTTTACAATGCTACTTGCAAGCTACAATTACATGTTTCTATTGTAAGAAATGCCTATTACCAATAGAACGGAAAGAGATTTACCTACAGATAAAACAGACTACGGGGATTTTTTAAAAATGGAGACCCACATTAATATTAGCTCTCATTACTGTCTACCAGCATATCCCTATTCTCTGATGGTGTGTTGTGTTAACTTCAGATTCAAGTGAAATGAATGCATTAGGCTTTCTAGACTTTCCAGTGGGGTGGGGGAGGGGGTCTCTGTTGTTATCTTTAATGCTATTGAAGATTTGCCTTTAAAATACCATTGTCCTTCCCTGATAATGAGTTTGACGACTATCTTATATGCCATCCTAGAACCAGTGCTGATGGAAGCAGAGGCAGACACAGCTAAACACTGACCTGAACTCCTGGAACTCAGTGGCTGAGAGGGAAAAGTGATGTCGAAGGTGTCAAGACTGGGCTGGTAAAACCCACAGAGACAGCTGACCTGAACAAGGGGGAGCTCTTGGACCCCAGACTGATGACTGAGAGGCCAGCATGGGGCTGATCCAGACCCCCTAAATGTGGCTGTCAGTGAGGAGACCTCAGCAATCTATGGAGCCTTGGTTAGTAGGTCAGTATTTATCCATGGCATACAAGTGGACCTTGGGAGCCCATCTCACATTGAGGGATGCTCGCTCAGCCTTGACACATGGGAGAGGACCTAGGCCCTGCCCTGGATGAAATGACAGACTCTGGAGATCCCCCATGGAGGGCCTCACCCTCCCTGGGGAGCAGAGAAGGGATTGGGTGGGGGGATGGGGAAGGAGGGGAGGGAGAGGAAGCTGGGATTGACATGTGAAGCAAGCTTGTTTCTAATTTAAATTTTAAAAGATTTAAAAAATACCATTGTCCATGACAGTTACTATATATATATGCACACACACACACACACACACACACACATATATATATGTAACTTTTTGCCTAGCAATGCATTTTTGATACATTTTAAGTTGTATTTGAGGAAATAATCGCACAATTGCTCATTTAAATAATATTTATGTTTTAAATCTGATCATATTTAGGAAAGGCTGTGATCACTTAAACATCAATTTCATTTTTACTACCACATCCATGTGGCATCAGCCAGTAGTCACAAAGTGAAGTAGGATTATTGTCCAGGTCATTAGGAGGCACCCTGTGAGTAAAACAATTGAAGTCAGCAAAGTTTCGGTATTTGATGGTTCTGGAAATTTTCCAACATCCCATGTTCCCAGAATATTCATAACCTTTATAGCCAGACCTGAAATAGACTTCCTAAGCCGGGAGCAGGGCATTCACATAAATGTCTCCTTCGCCAAGCAAGCCAAACACCTATGTTCTCAATTCCAACAAATCCAATACAGAAACTAGCTAGACAAACCTGGGAAGAAAAGAGGAGGCCAATGAACATTTAGGTGTTTTCAATTCACTTGTTCAGAATAACCAAAGGACAGAGAAACAATTTAAAGAAGGACAATGTGTAACAGTCAGAGGCAAGACATGCAAATAATCTTAAATCCATGTTTCAGACTGTAGCACCCGCCCGATGGCTTAGCGTGTCATCGGAGCAACAAAGAATGCTCCTCAGTGCAGATTTTTTTTTTTTGGTTTTACGAGACAGGGTTTCTCTGTATTGTTTTGGAGGCTGACAGTCCAGCCCGGCCTCGAACCCACAGAGATCCGCCTGCCTCTGCCTGCCGAGTGCTGGGATTAAAGGTGTGCGCCACCACCGCCCAGCTCAGTGCAGATTTCTTTACTTGGTTGAAAAGTACTGTGGTAGTATGACTCATTCATTCTCTCGTTTAACAAAGACTTGCTTAGCACTTAGTTTGTACCTCCTCCAGACAGATGGCATTTTGCCCACAGTGACACCCCCCAGAGTGTGACCTGCCTTTCTCCATCCTGCCCAGCTCCAACCAATCTCAGAGGGCACTCACAGTAACACTCCTTCTCTTCCCTAGATGTTCGGGTTTAATAGGCAATGTCCTTTGTAGACTTGTATATTTGAACACTTGGCCCCTAGATGTTGCTGTTTGGCAAGGTCATGCACCCTCTAGGAGGCGGATGCTTGCAGTGGTGGTAGGCTTTGAGGGTTTACAGGCTGGCCCACTTGCTGCTCTGCCTCTAATCCTGTTTGTAAAACCAGTTGTCTGATCCTGCTTATTTTCCCTTTCATGATGAACAATGTCCCCTTTTGGGAGAAACCTAAATTAACCCTCTATTTCTGAAGTAGCTTTTGTGTGAGTGTTCTATCACTGCAACAGAAAAGAAATGAATACACTATGGAATCTTATCAAAATAAAAACAAATTATCAGGAAAAAAAAGTATGCTCGATTTGTCAGCACTAAAATTGGAATGATACAGAAAAGATTAGCATGACTTCTGCACAAGGATGCCATGCAAATTCAGTAGCTCAACAGTGGTGGTGCATGCTTTTAATCCCGGCAACTGGGAGACAGGCAGGCAGATCTCCAAGTACCAGGCAAGCCTGGTCTACACAGTGAGTTTCAGGACAACCAGGGCTACACAGAGATCCCTGTCTCAGAAAAAAAAGCAAAATATACGCTATTAATAGTTATCACCAAGAAGGCATATAACTGATCAACACATATATAGGAAAAATAGACAGCATTTGTCATCATTGGAGAAATACAGTGTAAAATATAGTGTAAAAGCACTTTAACAACCTTTTCACAAAATGCCTACTATACAAAACAATGATAGCAAATACTGCTGAGGGGTGAACAGAAAAGAACCTTGCACACTGTTGATAGGCACAGCCACGATGAACAACAATTTTGAGACTCTCCCCCCAAAAGGAATAGAAGTACCATATGATCCAGCAACTCCCCGACTATGTCTGTATCCAAAAGAAATGAAATCAGTATGTTACAGACATATGCGCATTCTCCATTTGTTGCATCAGTAGTCACAGTAGTCAGTATATGGGATTGACTTAAATCTCCACCAACAGAATAACAGAGAAATGTGGCATACACCCATGCATGGCTCAATGGTTAAAGTACTTGCCCTACAAAGATGAGAACTTGAGTTCAAATCCTCAGAAGCGCACATAAATACTGAATGGGCGTGGAGACTCCCTTATAATTCTAGCTTTAAAAGATAGAATCAGGGGATCTTCAGAACATGCTGGCTAGAGAGCATAGTCATATACACAAGCTCTGGGTCTAAGTGTGAGAACCAGCCTCAATGAATAAGGAAGAAGAGTGATGAGGGTGATTCCTGACATTGATCTCAGCCCCCCTCCCACATACACACATATTCACACACACACACACACACACACGTAAAAGCATGTATACATACATCTATAACATGCACCAAAATGGGAAAAAGAAAAAAGATGAAATCCTGTGATTCTCATAATGCAGGGAGGGGGAAAAAGCCCCAAAAAGAAAGACAAATGACACACGACTGAGTTCATCTGTGTACTCTGAAAAAGTTGATAACATGGAAGCTAAGAATCAAACAGTAGTTACCAGAATCTATGAAGGGTATGTGGTAAATGGGGATGAATAAAGTTGGTTCAGACACAAAGTTATAGTTACAAGAAACACACTCAGGTGCTCTACCGAATGTAGTTGACAATATTATGTTGTATATTTGTACAAAACATATTTTCTATTCTCATGACAAAGAATTGATAAATACTCAAGGTGATGAATGTGCTTAGTATTCTGTATCATGTCCATGTATCAAACATCTCACTTTGTCACATAAATATGAACAAGAATTATGTGTCAATTAAAAACTTCCATAAAGTTTTATTGGGATGCAGTCATATCCACTTGTGTAGCTGCTTTGACGTTACCATAGTCTTGATTACAACAGAGATTGGATGGCTTACAAAGTCAAAACATTTACTTCTACCCATCACAGAAAAATTCTACAGATTTTTGATTTGGATTATAGATACCTTAATTCCTGCTTTGTATCTATGTATTTTTCATCTGTTCTGAAGATAAAAATACATGATAGGTATAGACAGGAAAATGTAAATAATTTCATTCTTTTCCAGTGTTTGGAGAATGCACTATAAGATGAATGGTTATCATCAGATCTCAGCTGGTCTTCAGCTGTGGATAAATAACTTAAGATGGGAGCTATAAAATTATTACTTGTGTCACAAACATTTATTTTTAGCACTTATTAAGCTGTAGCCAGCGTTCTATGAGCCTTTAGAACCTCTGTATACCAGGCCTCATCACAGTTCTGGTATACAGAGAATTCTTCTCCCCATTTGACCCACAAGGAAACAGAAGCACAAAGCTGCTAGGTAACTTACCCAGCTAAAACACACACACTGAAGACAAAATTCAAATCCATATCATCGTGGAAGTGCCAAATAGCTCTTCGAAACTAGTTCTTATGCCACATCTCTCAAGGAAAATGCTCTTGGTCTATGGCAGAGGAATTAGTTTTCTCAAGGTAAATCATCAGTCCAAAGACTTCTGTAGAGCCTGAAAGAAGCAAGATGTGTGTAGGCGAGAGGAAAGATGAGTGATGCAGGAGAGTGAATCCCAGTAGTCCAGACTGTATTAAAACGGTGGAAACGAGTTTGATGTATGCATTGGCTCTCCAAAGGAAGACTGAAACAACAAATTGTGTGTGTATATGTATGTGTGTGTGTATATGTTTCTGTGTGTGTGTCTACGTGTGTGTCTACGTGTCTGTTTGTATGTCTGTGTCTTGGTGGCTGTGTGTGAGTCTATGTGTGTATCTATGTGTATGTGTTTGTGTGTATGTCTGTCTATGTTTCTATGTGTGTATCTATGTGGGTGTATGTGTGTCTGTGTCTTGGTGTCTGTGTGTCTGCATGTGTTTGTGAGTCTGTGTGTATCTGTGTGTGTATGTGCGTGTGTGTCTGTTTGTTTATGTGTGTGTTTGCATGTGTCTATGTGTGTAACTGTGTGTGTATATCTGTGACTGTGTGTGTGTGTATGTATGTGTGTTCATTCAGAGAAATTTATTTTAAGTAGTTAACTCACACACTTGTAGGAACTGACAGTTCTGAACTCTGCAATGTAGACATTCTGGGTTGTAAACCCAGGAAAGAGTAGTTTGGGATCATAGGTCTCTCATCCTCAGGGAAGCTTAGTGGGTTTTGCTTAAGACTTACACCTGATTAAACAAGGGTCACCTCATGATGCAGAGCAATCTACATTTAAGTCATGAGCTCAAAGCTACTGCTTTGAATATGTTTGGGGAAAAAAGTAAAATGCAAGCTGCATCACTGTTTTTTTGTTTGTTTGTTTTTTGGTTTTTTGGTTTTTCGAGACAGGGTTTCTCTGTGACTTTGGATGTGCATCACTGTTTTTGCTTTTGTTTTGTTTGGTACTTCCTCCCTGGTTCTTGGCAGAAAAAGACAAGATACACTGCTAAGAAGAGGGATACTAGAAATCAACTCAACTTTATGGGAGGCAGAATCAACAAACATAGTTGAAGCCAGAAAGCTGTATAATTCCTCAGCATAATGTCTGCCACAGGGTGGCATAGGGCAGCTATTACTATTTGTATAAAGAAAGACTAAGAGGAATTAAAATGAATTTTACAGAAAACAGACAAAAGTGGTTGCCAGATTATAAGTCTCCGTGTTATGTGGTGATATATAAACTTTTTTCTGAAGACAAGATGAAACTTTTGGAAAATTTTAAGCAATGAAAAAGGGTTACACTTTAAGATCTTTCCCAAAGTGTGAAAAAAATTGGAGTGGAATTATGAAAATTCAGAGCAATAAAGAGTAGGTAGCCAGGGGCTGGAAAGATGGAAAAGTAGTTAAAAGTTCAGTTGCCAGTACCTACATGGACACTCACAACCATCTATCTGTAACTCCAGTCCAGGGAGATCTGATACCTTCTGGCCTCCTTGGGCTCTGATCTCACATGAGGAACAGCCAAATACGTGCAGGCAAAACACATATACATATAATAGAAAATAAATGAAACAAACTTTAAAAGTGGGTGGCAGTTTGGAAAGGGTATTTGAAAGACGAAATCTGGCAGAAGTAGATGAGCAACTCAAGAAAAAATTTAAAGAGCACATGAAAAGAAAATTCAACGTGAGTAGAAAAATCTTACTGATATGTTTACAAATGACTTACCAAGAAAGCTCATGCAATCCCCTTTTCTAGTGGTGGCTTAAAATGAGATGAAGTCACCTTTGATTGGTAGCTCAAGGCCTGGCCTTGAATTCATGATCTCAATAGGAGAAAGAAAGAAACAAAGGAAGGAAGGAAGGAAGGAAGGAAGGGAGGGAGGGAGGGAGGGAGGGAGGGAGGGAGGAAGGAAGATAATACAGTATGCATAAACTTTTAATTGTGTGTTTATTTTATATTACATGCTTATAATATTGTTGTACAGACTTCCTTCTGATCTCCTTTAAACATACTATGATTCTCTGTCCAGTATTTTTTCCAATCACATCATCATTATATTCCATTGGTTTATGACAATGACATTGCTACACAGTGACTTCATGACTGTAAGGAAACAATATGAGTTTACAGCTGAAAAAAGTATAATTACAAGCATAAATTATGGCTGCTGTCAAGACAACAGACATTAACACAGAAGCTTTGAACATATTGCAGAAATAGGTTAGGTCTATGCTACCTGAAATCATTGTGAACTCTGAATGTTTTCTCCACAAATAATCCACCCAAAACGTATTTCATCTTTTTAAACAAATAAACTAGATGAATCAGCCTATATTTCCCTTTTCTTATCTTTTCTTCCCTGACATGTGCTCCACTACTATTAAAAGGTGCTTTGAAAGTGTACTGAAAAATATTGTATGAACTATTAATGTAAGCTAGATTGCATTTAATAAAACAAAACTATGGAAACCTTTCATTAATAGAAGTCTTTAAGCTTGTATGAAGTCTAAGAATAATTATCCAATATCTACGAATTGTGATGATTCATCTACCATCTGCTAAAGTCTTAGCCATATCAATCTTTTAATTGGTAGAGGTTTAGTTTTAGGAATTTTAACTAAGTATGTTTCTACCTAAAATAAAGGGTCCCATACACAGAGATCCACAGCAGAAAGTTGTGTTCAGAGGTGTTTGACCACTGTATTAAAAGGAGATGCTATAGAGATCTATCGCTATTTGCAGAACTAGTATAGATGAAGTCCAACGTTACCTACCATTTAGAGCATTTCATACCTACACAACACTCATGTACACAACCTGAAAACACTGTCAATACAAAAATAATAAATAACCCACCCATAAAAACTTCAAAATTTTCATATATATATATGCATATATACTAATATCTACATGTCTAAAATTAAGTTAATAAAGGAGTATGTTTAAACGTGATCTGTAGATTCTTGTGTATTTTCTGTATTTACATCAATATTAGAAAAGGTATGTACATATATAAAATAAATTTATGATT